CTGGGACCGAGCCCGCGCGCCAGCACGCCGAGACGTCACGTCCGGCGCTAGTGCGGTCTTCCGGCCTCGAGGGTCTCGAGCTTCAGTCGATTGGCTACGGCGCACGTAGGGCAAGTACACGCGTGCGCAGCAGGCGAGCAGCTCGGCGGGCGCTGCTGTGGAAGAGCCAGCCGAGGAGCGGTCGTTTTTGTACCTTCCCGCGCGTAGGGCGGTGCAGCCAACGCAAGGGCGGGTCAGGGCGTGATTAGGTGGTGCAGGTGCGAGGCGTCAGGAGGGCGGGGCTTAAGAGCTCCGCCCTGCCGGCTGGTTGGGTGTGGGTAAGGCTGGGGCCTGGAGCCGCAGGGTTGCTTCCGTTTCGCCCTCTCCCCGCTGGTCCCCACCTCAGCTCCCTTCAGCCTTGAATCGGAGTCTTCCGCGTTTTCCCCTGAGGCGAAGGCTCCTAACAATCTCGTCTGGTTTCCATCAGTAACCTCCCAAGTTAGTGACCGACACTTTGCTAGTTATATCTTTTCAAAATAAGTCTGTGATTTGGCGTTGGTTTATGCTTGTGCTGCCAGCTACTCGGAAGGCCCAGGCAGAAAATTCTCAAATTTGAGGCCAGCCTGGGCAATTTAACCAGACCCTGTCCCAAAAAATAAGGGAGGATACTTCTATATGCCCCTAAGGTCGATTTTGGCAGCTTTTTTTTTGTTTTTTCTAATGAGAACCAATGCACCCTTTCATGGGCGTTGATCTTTGAAGCTATCCCAAATGTGTGGCAGGACCGAATTCGAAATTGTCCTGTGCCCCCAGCGGGTGTCTCCCCAGCACTGGCGAGCTAAGGCACTTTCCTTGGGAACAAGGGTGTGTCTCTCTGTTGGTGATCCGGGATTGCTGGTAGATAGAAAGCTCTTGACAAGCAAATCTGTCCTCTTAGTGGCTCCCGTGAAGCCCAGAGGGCATTCCTACTTTGGTCCCCGAATGTTGTAGTTGTGCAGCATGACTTCAACTGGTTAATTCTCTTGCTTCAGCCCACAGGCTCTGCTGCCATGAAGGTGAAGATTAAATGTTGGAATGGCGTGGCCACTTGGCTCTGGGTGGCCAATGATGAGAACTGTGGCATCTGCAGAATGGCCTTCAACGGCTGCTGTCCTGACTGTAAGTGTTACCCTCCGTGTGCTCCTATCACAGCCTGCTTGCCCAGCTTCAAAATCACTGGGTTCTTTCTCCTGATGAACACTTGACCAAAAAAAAAAAAAAATGGCAGGCATTCTTACCCACTCTGTATAAAGACCCTACTCAGTGTCATTCGTGGTGGCATGTGACTGTAAGCCCAGCTACTTGCGAGCCCGAGGCAGGGAGATCACAACTCTAAGGCCTGCCTGGACAACTTAGTGAGACCTGTCTCAAAATTTATTTATTGGTTTTGTTTTTTTATTTCTTGTTTTGGTATTGGGAATCAAACTCTGGTCCTTGTGCTTGTGAGGCAGGCAGCGGAACCACTGAGCTAAGTTCCCAGCCCAATTTATTGGTTTTTTGAGACGGGTCTCACTATGTAGTTGAGACTGACCTGGAACTCACTGTGTAGCTCAGGCTTGTCTCGAACTCACAGTGATCCTCCTGCCTCAGCCTCCCGAGTCCTGGGATTGCAGGCATGCACCACCACACCCTGCTCAAATTTTATTTTATGTTTTATTTTTTATTTTTTTGGTACTGGGGATGGAACTTGGGTCCCTGTGCTTGCAAGGCAGACGGCAGAACCACTGAGATAAATCCCTGGCCCTCAAATTTAATCTTATTTTGTTTTTAATTTACTTTTTAGCTGGGTGTGCTGGCGCACACCTGTAATCCCAGCACTCAGGAGCCTGAGGCAGGAGGATTGCTTCAAGTTTGAGGCCAGCCTGGGCCACATAATGAGTTCCAAGTCCAGCCTGAATTCAAATTTCAGAAGCTTTAGCCTCAGCCCCCTGGAGTGCTGGGATTACAGGTGTTTACCACCATGTTCTGGATTCTGATTTTATTTAGCCCTTTTGTTTTGTTTTGTTTTTTGAGGCAGGATTTCCCTTTGTAGTTCAAGTTGGCCCTGAACTGGATATATAGCCCAGGTTGGCCTCCCATTCAGTGGCAATCCTCCTGCCTCAGCCTCTGGAGTGCTGGGATTATAGGTGTGTGCTACCACACCCAGCTATTTTACCCTTTTTATTTATATATATATATGTTTTAGCCAGTGTGGTGGCGCACACCTGTAATCCCAGCACTTGGGAGGCTGAGGCAGGAGGATCTCTGTGAGTTTGAGACAAGCCTGGGCTACATAGTGAGTTCCAGGTCAGCCTCAACTACATAGTAAGACCCTATCTCAAAAGAAAAAAAAAAAGAAAGAAAGAAAGAAAGAAAAGGTAAGCACTTCAGCTTTCAGAGTAACAGGCTGTTTGTAAAAGTCCTCAAAAGCATTTTAGCAACTCCCAGCCTCTTCCAGCCTTGCCCACAGGCTGGACATCGACTGCTGAGTGTGCAGACCAGAGACAGCTCCGTGGTCCCCCAGGCTGCCTGCTCCTGCCAGCCTAACCAAGCCACCTGAATCTGTGTCTGGGCCTTATAGACAGGGCCTTAGGTGGGTCGAATGCTCAGTATCTCACCTGAGTAGTGTGCTCAGGCCATATGAAAATGGGGCCTGCAGACTGCAGAGAACAGAGAGAGAATTTAGACTAATTCTTGAACTCGCTGGCCAAGTTAGAGCAAGCTAGTTTTCACATACCGTGTATTTGATGGTCTAATGGGCTTTCTGGATAGATTAGTTAAGCAGCACTGGGGTTTTCTTACTAAAATTGAACTCCTGTGAATAATCCAGAGTGACTCAGCCTGTAATAAATCCCATGTCCCAGAGGCTTTGGGGTAAAGCAGTCTGATTGAGAGGTGCTTTAATTAAAGAATAATCTCATCCAGCCACTGGCAAGTCCTCGCGTGACTCACCCTACATTCATGCTCATCAGAGCTAGGCTGCTTGCAGGTACTGTCTGAGAGGGCAGCACTTCCTTCACAGGAGTCCTCCCACGGTGGGTGGGCAGCAGGTGCTTTCCAGGGAGGGGGATCTCAGAGGGATTGGGAGCTGGTACGATGTAGGGCAGGATGGCTGGGAAGTAGCAAGATTGAACACCCAGTGCCAGACTGACCCTGATGTGGACACAGAGGCAGTTGTCTCTTTTGATTGTGATATATTGTCCCCCTCTGCACCAAGCCCTCTTCTGTGGAGGAAGTGTGGCCAGGCCTATGGGTGGGTGGCTGCAGCCTGTCCCCGCCGCCTTGGCAAGGAGGTGGAAGATAGCAGCGTCGTTCTGCCGACAGGCCCCACTGAGATCCCACAGAGTCCCTGAAGCCTGTGCAATGGACTGGATATGTGGTGTCCAGGGAAGGAATCTTCTAGTTCCCCCACTGCCCTTGATGACGACACATCTCTTGCTGCTTAGGTGGCATCTGGAGGGTGTGCTGACCATGAGCATTACCTTCCTGCTGCCATCACAGGTTTAAGTGTCTACATCCTCTGGGGAAAAGGTGACCCCGTGGGCAAGCCAGAGCTCCAACCTTCTGTGCCTCTGGCAGCCAGAGGTTATGGCCGGGGTGGAGCCACTGCTGATGCCCTGGGGCTTCTGCCTGTCTGGTCACACTCACCCCTGTCGACCACAGGTAAGGTGCCTGGCGACGACTGCCCCCTGGTGTGGGGCCAGTGCTCGCACTGCTTCCACATGCACTGCATCCTCAAGTGGCTCAACGCGCAGCAGGTGCAGCAGCACTGCCCCATGTGCCGCCAGGAGTGGAAGTTCAAGGAGTGAAGTCCATCCCCTCCTCCACCTGACCCCGTTCCTCACCCTGGGACATGGCGCAGTCCCCCTTGGGCTGTGACAGAGTTGAAACAAGGACTGGAGCCTCCTTTGTTTTTTTCATCACAATGCTGACACTTTTATCCAATAAGTAAAACTCATTAAAGCACCAAACCTTGCTGGAGGCCTCTGGGCATCTGTTCTTGACATACTGATGCGGCTGTGGTGTGTTTTGATATGAAAACACTCATGAATAAACATTCCGATGAGACCCTCATCAGAGCTTGGTTCATCATTCAGGCAGAGGGAGCCAGGATGAGATGGAAGGGCCTGGGGCAGGGTCCGGCTGGGCACAGGCCCTGGGGAATGTTTGTGCTAGTGGAGGAGGAATTGGGAGGCCAGGCTGGGACCCTCCCTCTGACCCTGAAGGAGTGCAGCTGACAGCTGTTCTTTGTCGGCCTTCAAGCAGAAGGCGATGCCCTGAGCAGGCTCCCCTTGTCCCCAGATAGGCTGCAGAGACAGCTGGGCGGGTCTGTTCACCCAGTCCCTTGCACCCTGCTTGGGCTGCTGGCTAGCTGCAGTGTCAGCACTCACTCACTCACAGGTGACCTGCAGGCCCTTCCCTGCAGCTGCTGCCTGTTCTGTCCTCAGGATGGCAGGACGAGTTAGAGTGCCGAGGGGCTCACATCAGCATGGCACTGGGGTCAGAGAACACTCAGGAAGGGTTCCTGTACCAGCCCACAGTTCACCTGGCAGCTGAGCTTGCTTTGGGTTGGCTGGATGCTCCCTTCGGGGCTGCCAGCCCCAAGGTGTGGGGAAAAGAGGAGCCTCCTAAGGACTGTCTCTCCCTAGGACACTTGAGGACTGGCACCAGCCCTTGGCAGTCAGGAAGTATTTTAGGAGGTTTAGGAGAAGAGATGGACCTGACTTGGGTTTGGGGCTTCCTGAGGGCTGCAGAGAGATTTGTGGCTTTGGATTTTATTCCAAATTCCAAATTCCAGGCCTGATTCTGACCTGTCTCCCTCTGGCCTGCCCTCTACTATCCTGGAAACCTTCTTTTTTTTGCTTTTTTTTTTTTTTGGTACTGGGGATCGAACTTGGGTCCTTGTGCTTGTGAGGTAGGCGGCAGAACCACTGAACTAAATCCCCAGCCCAAGAATTTGCTCTTCTGTATCTCAGAAGTGTCTTCCCATGGGACAGGAAATGCCCACAAGGGCCCAGCTTTCTCAGGCTCACTTTTTCTTTTCTCTTTTTTTTTTTTTTGTTTTGTTTTTTGAGACACGTCCTTGCTATGAAGCCCAGGCTGGCCTTGAACTCAAAGCAATCCCCCTGCCTCAGTCTTCTGAGTGCTGGAATCACAGGTATGTGACACCACACCAGCCTCAGGCTCACCTCTTAACCTACCCAGCCACACAGCTGCCTCCTGGCTTCCCTGCAACCTCAGTCCTTCTCATCTATCCCTGGGCTCCAGCTGAGTCTTTTTCTCAAGATCAGCCCCACTTATGTCACCTGCCAGACCCCACACCCAAGACTCATGTAGGATGTGCACGTCTTTCTTATTCCTGCCTTCTGTGCTGTCTGCCTCCTCCCAGGAAGCTGGGACGCCTGTACGGTTTTCATCAAACCCAATAAATTCCCTCTCCAGCTGGCAAACAACAGCTCCTGGGGGAGGGTCACCCCACTAGCCTTTGCAGGCTGCCTTTGTCTCCCCTGCACTGCCCTGCCACTGGTCCTATGTAGATCCCGGGCTGTAGCACGCAGTAGATGATCAAAGCCTGACCTACCCCTGGGCAGCCTCCATCCATGTCCAGTGTCTGCTGCATGGGTACAGAGAAGGCCCTAGAGGCACACAGGTGGGAGACACTCCCAGGCCACCCATGTCTCCGACCTGCTGTGCCTTGGTCCGGTTCTCCCAACCTTGGGGCCTGGCTTTGCTTCTCTCCTAGGACCAGGCCAGTAGTAAAACCTTGCACCGTAAGCACAGATCTGCCCATGGATTTTGATGCTTCTGGCCACAGGATGGGAAACTTGCCCTTGTGCCTCCTGAGCCGCATACAGCCTTGTAGTTTGCTTTTCAGCTGCAGGAGCACTGGACACATATGTGGCTCCGCTTCGGGTCAGTGACCATTTAGTACTGCCACGCCCCCCGCCCCACCCCCCGCTGGATGGGATCAGCTGGGGGTCTGGGAAGGTCTGTGCGCCTGAGCACGAAGCGGTATGGGACCCCTTCCTGGGCGCGCTCACTGCCCCG